AAAAAAATCTGCATTTAAAGAGAATTTAATATAACCTGCACTTAGAGAACATGCACTTAGAGAGAGTCGACTGTATATAGTGTAAAATTCGTCAAACAAAATATAACTAGTAATGTTACTGATCTAGAAATTATGATAATGAAAATTAAAGCAATCCAAAGTGAGAAAGATTATCTATTAATGCTTCTTGCAGAATACATTGACAATATTGTAATAGACCAAAATGCTCATGCAATCAAGTTATATAAAGATTCTCTTTGGTCTCTGATTGCAAACCTGTCATTCGCCTTTGATTATTCAAATTCTACAACATATCATCTATTCGAAAATGCACCAGAAATTATTGAAGAGGGTATTAAAAATATTCTTTCTTTCTATGAGACTGGAAAATTGCACTTTCAAGAGGTGCTTGAAGAAGATGTATACAAAACTAAGCTTCAAACTTCTTAACATCATATGCGAAGTATAAACATTATACCTATACATAACTTGAAAGTATAAAAAAACCAAAACATCATCAAATATATAACCCTATTCAAGAATCAATTTTTCAACAAATTACCTTAATATTACTGCAAACTTTGTCATTATCACCATCTTCTGTAACTAATTCTTTAAAATGTTCACATTACACTACTACTGAAACAGAAAAAACAATACTTTTGCAATTATTTAAACTTGAAGATATAATTTCTGAAAATGAAATCCAGAAAATGTTGTCAGAACTTTATATAATCTTTTCAAATTGGACGGTAGAAAGAGTTAAGCAGTATTTAAGAAACAATAGATCAAGAATGTTTAAAAATAAAATAGCATAAAGCCTTTTATATATAAAAACAAATTCGTTAGAATACATATAACTTGCCTTCCTTAAATATAAAATCCAACTATTACAAAATAAAGTATTTCAAATTTTTACACATACCTTATTACAGTCAGACCTTCTAAGCACCACTATAAATGCATGTATTTCTTAAATATATATTCACATTCTGGTGCAAATATATACTAAGCCTTTATAAGTACAATTTTTCTTATAATTCTCTAAATGCATATTGTTAAAATATGGTCTTGCGAGTGTGCACTTGGAGAGATTTAACTATAATCATCTAGAATTCAAATTTTAAATAATAAAGTTAATAATGCAACTTCAAAGATCTTTAAAATTTTTAAAAATACTGTGATTCATTATATGTAAGCATCTCAGTTTAGTTAAAATCTTCAATAAGATACTATTTGATCATTTTTATAGATTTTACAAAAAAAAGATCAAGGTAAAAGTAATTCAAATTAACTTTCATTTTACTTTATAAAAAAAATACCTCTTAGTAAATACCTAAAAGTCACAACTAAAGTGCTTTTAAGCCAATAATGAGATTTATAGTGCTCTTGATTCTCCACTTCTAACAAAGTAAAAATCATTTTTTTTATAATACTTAAAAAAAAATCTTGGTATTTGTGTTTAAAAATTGCAACTTTTAGACCTAGTTCCCGTTAATAAAAAATAAAGCAATATAAATATTTTTAGTACAAAATGAAAGTACAAAACTCGAAAAAAAAAGTTATTTAAGATTAAAATATTGCTTGCTATTAACTTCTCGAAGAGGTTAAGAAAAAGAAATGTCAATTTATATTATACAAAAATTAATTACTAGTAAAATCACTGGGAAGGACATGTCCTGTAACTGGTAAGGGAATATGTTAGTAATAGATAAATATGTAATATATAAATTGGATAAGTAATACACAAATTAGTAAGCTGCGCATGAACAATATCATAATAGGATTTAAAGAAAATAGTGTGATTAGTAGTAAGTTAATTAAAAGTCAAAATGGTATGATTAGTAAATTAGTTAATTAAAAGTCAAATGTGCGTGATCAAAAATAATGTAATTAAAATAGTCAAAGTGAGTATAAATAGAGCAAAAGAAAAGTAATAAAATAATTAGCAAGTGCTTTATTATAAAAAATATACTTGAAGCATATTGTTGAGTTATTTACCCAATATGATACTGAAAGGTTGATATATATATTTATTTGCTTGTTTCACTCTTTGAGTTAGATTTTAGTAGCAATAACTACTATTAACCACCACCAAAACACTAAACTAGAGCATCAAGTTTTAAGCTCTAGAGTAAGGCTAAGAGCTCAGAAGTCAAGCTCTTACACAAATGGGTAGAGCTAGGATATTGTCATTATCTGGCCATACTCAGCCCATGTAGAGGCTTATAAGCAGATTAATCTCCTGTTAGGATCTAGGCCTTTATATTCCTTATACTGTATTTATGCAAAATAACGCACATGGGCATTATTTTGAAAATCACAATTCCTTAAAATAGCATAGTTGGTTTCAAAATAATGCCTATATACGTCCCGAAATAACACACATCCTATATACTAATGTTAATAAATCACCTTGATATTTCCTATCAGTGATTGGGGTGTATTCTTTGCCTCGAAATAATGCTTATGTACATACTTGAAATAACGTGTATCTTCTCAAAATAACGCACAGATGTGCGTTATTTCGCGTAAATACGGTAATATACATCCTAACTTGGTGATAGCTCTGACTAACTTTTTGTTATTATTGAGTCTATACTCTCTTAACTATATTATTAAATCCTAAGCAGGGTTTCCTTATTTTGTTTTTTAATAATTAAGATCTATAATCTTGGCAACTTTTTACTAAACTACTTCTTGTACAACATATCTGCTGCACTAATATATAGTTAGAGAGTATTTATATATCAGATCAAAATTAATATACTATATTTTTTATATCTTTATATGAAGACTCCTGTATATTAGTTAGATATAGTTATATCTAACTAAATTTATTATATATTACTACTTTTAGCTTTTGTTTAAGTGGTTGATATTTAATATTGGTATATCCTTATATTGCAATTATATCCTATTTATATTACTACTACTAGCCCAGTGCTTTTAGCTTTAATTTGAATTTTTTTATACATTTTCATATTTTGATCTACTTTTCTATATGTAGAATCTTTCCAATTTAATCTTTTATATATTGGCAGAGGTATTTTCAATCTGGTAAAACCAATTCTTTGCTACAGATTATCTTTATATTTACTATTTTTTACTATTTCAGTTTTTTAATTACTATTATATTACCCTTTTAACCAAATCCTGTATTAATAATTTCTGTTTAGAACTTAAATATATGATTTAGTAATCATTTTTTCAAGCAAATATCCTATAAGTTGGTGTAGAAATGTTGTGCTTTCTAGCCTAGTAATATTAAGATATTAGTAATGCTTCTTTTCTATTTAAAGACTTATTTATGCAATCTTCATATAACTTTAGATTTTCAGTAATACTGTTATTATATATTGTAAATATATTTTATAATTAGATCTTCTTCTAAAATTTCTATTTTATATTTGTACTTATACTTAGGTTTTTTACAAAGTTTATATTTAATTATCATGCAAACTCTTATAATCATAGATTTTTTCTTGTTATTTTTTGTATATTATTATATAAGTACAATAATTCTGAATTAAAACTCAGTTAGTCAACTATGACTCATAAATTATGATCATAATTGCATGATAACATTGATATTGGATCATGCAATGATAAATATCACAAAATTTATTTTGTCAGAGTAAATGATTAGATAAAACATATACTACATAGCATATATCAGCTAATCATTTGCTTTAACAAAACAAATTTCATAATATTAATTATTATATAACTAATATCTTATACTTATAACCTTATATATATCATAGTAACAAATTTAAAATTTTGCTACTAGCTTAACTTGAACCATTAATCATGTTTATAGAAATTTGAGAGCTTAACCATAAGCTACAGAACCTAACTCTATTTATTAAATTTGATTAAATGTTTGTTAAAATATTTTTATTTAAAATTTTTATTCTATTAAAAATTTAACTAATAAATATAAAAAATATAAAAATTAATTTGAATATTCTATAAAATAGGTAGGCAATATAAGAAAATGCTTTGCTAATAATTAGTAATTATTAATTGATATTCCTCTATAAACTAAAGAATAGGCAAAATGAAACATCTGCTATCTAAAACTTTTTTTTACTATATTAATAATATATGCTTACTAATTGAAAGTTGTAGAGCTTGTTGTAACATATAAAACGGTAGTTAAATCATCCAAATCAGCTTAGTAGATGGTGAGATATCATTAAAAATAATTGGCTGACTATATAAAAATTTGTGACAGAAATTACATATAAAAATCACTATCGTAAAATATAGCATGCTTCTATCTAAAACATTTTTTTTTACTAAGTTAATAGTACATACCAATTAATTGAAAGTTGTAGAGCTTGGCAAAATGTATCTAACAGTGGTTAGATCATCCAAATCGGCCTAGTGGATGGTAAGATATCATCAAAAAAATGATTGGCCAACTATATAAAATCTTATGTTAACAATATTTGTTTACATAGAGATTTTATATAGTTGGCCAATCGTTTTTGATGATATTTCACCATCCACTAGGCTGATTTGGATGATCTAACTACTGTTAGATGTGTCTCAATGAGCTCTACAACTTTCAATTAATAGACATATATTATTAACTTAGTAAAAAAATGTTTTAGATAGAAGCACACCACATTTTGCCAATAGTGATTTTCATATATAATTTCTATCGGCATGGGAGACATTTGTATTTTTCAGAAAAGCATGGGCTTTGTCATAAGATTTTTGATCAATTAGAAATCAGCTTTATCAACACATGATCAAAACAGATAGATAGTCATTGAATTAAGCAGCCAATCAACAGGCATTATTTATTTATTATAATTTCTTTCATTTTAATTTCAAAGTACAATAACTCGCGTTGTAAAAGAATTAAACTATTCACTCACACTCTAATAGCAATTTTATAATTGCAAACATTCTATTTTATAAGGTTTTTAGTAACCAGTTACACATCCTTCAATAGTTTTCCTTAAAATCTTATGTAATTATTAATAAAATTATATTATCGCTATTGTATATGTTAAATAATTCTATCATGTTAAATATCTTTTAAGAAATATCATAACTTTAAAATAAGCCTGTGAAAATTCGAAAATAAAAGTTACCAAGTTAATAATTTAAATAACAAAAAAAAAAACTAGCAAAAAACAATGTCGAACTTTGTGAATTGAGCAATACAATATACTTTTATTATCTTTTACTATAGAGTAGATAGTACTTTAACCTTTAGCAGAACAACCTTTTCCAGTGTAATGCAGCATAATGCAACTTAAGTTTCTTGAAAAGATGTTCCCTACGAAGCTATTTTATTAGTAAAGTATTGCGTAATTAGTTTTGTTTTTTAAAAGTTTACTTATACCTGAAATTTCTGGTTTTAAACTACTATTCTGTATAAATACTTGTATAATATCGATCTCGAAAATCATCGGATATGAATGTTCCCATGCTATTTCCATCATGAATTTTTATATAGTTGGCCAATAAACTCTCTCCGTAAATCCTTTACACAAACTTAAATAAAAATAGAGTTATTACCCGAGTCAGATGACCCATATAGGTCAGAAATTGGTCTGACTCAGGTCAAACAAGTCAAGATTCAAAATATGTAAATTTACTAAATTATATATCAATATCGATATAAAAATTAGATATTTGCGTTATTGTACATATAATCATATTGGTAGGAAATGTTTTGAATAAACTGCTTTTTTTTTTATTCCAGTATCTTTCAAAATAGGTCAAATTTTTATGCGGATATTATAGTTTAGATCAATCTGAAAATACTAACATGATTTATTTCTTTATTTAATGATAAGCATTTAACAATTTTTCTTTAAAATAATGTTCATTCACAATTTTCATTCTAACAGCTTATTTAAATCTTCAGGTGATTCCTTATATCTGCATCACACTGTCTCCTCTCATTTTTAATACAAACACATTATTGGTTGTTTCAAATTTTAATAATATATTTAAATTGTATATGCTTTATTATTATTGTTTTTTTTTATATTATATACTTCCTCAAATTTTACGATATATCTGCGGTTTAACTTTAATAATTTATTTAGATCTGCAAGTGCTTCACATTCTTCTTGATTGCTCAGTACCTGTTCATTATCTGACTTAATTCTGGAACAGTTTAACTAAATCAAAAACCATATAAAAAGGTTAAATTTAATTATTTTAAATTACTTAAATATAATATTTAAGTGCTAAAAAGCTAAAACATACAAATCTTATCTAGTAAGATTTGCATGTTTTAGTTTTGCAGCATTCACCTTTATTATTTAGTTAAAAACGGGTGAAATGGGCCAAAGCTTTAGAGCTAACTTAAGAAACAAAATTGATTCAACAAATTGAGGGTTAAGACGTGTTCTTTTTTCAGTAATTGTGAGACCTGCAGATGAAAAAAGATGTTCAGATGGTACTGATGTGGCTGGAATAGAAAGGTACTTGCGAGCAAGTTTTGCAAGTATAGGATAGTCAGATTTTCTTGATGCCTACCACTGAAGTATATCTGTGTTGCTTAAAACCCTTGGCAGTAATAAATAAGAATTAAATTCACAGTTAGCAATGTTGTTATCATATTGATCTGAATTCATGGTCACAGGATTAGAAAAAATATCTTCACTATGCATTATATCATAAGATGCTGAATCTAATAAATTGTCTATTTCATAGTAATTCATAGCTAACTCAAGATATTCTATTCGTGCTTCTGAAATAGTTTAATTTTTTTTATTCTTCAGAAATATTTGTATATCTTTAGTTCGTGGGTCAAAAAAAGCTGTAAGTTGAATCAGTTTTGTGGGTTCTAAAAATTGTTACTGAAGTGATTCATAAAGATGTTCTCCAAATCTCTTAATATCGGCATTACTTATTATTGCACAATTAAGTTTTACTTTAATAAAATTAATAGCAAACTATGCTTGAGAAAGTAGTGGATACTGCAAACTGGACAATTTTTTCGAAATAACCTCATAAGGATACAATAATTTAACTAACTCATTTATTTTTTTCTATTCATCTGATGACAACTCTTTTCTTCATAACTTCTCAATGAACTATTATCATTAATTTCAACTAAAAATGACTTGTATCTATACATTGCTGGTTTAAGAATCGTTAGTCGTTTTAATAAATAAAATGTTGAGTTCCACCTTGTCGAGACATCATAAACTACAAAAAGAAAGTTAGTCCAGTCTTCTATCTCCATTTGAGCTTCTAAAAGAAACTGCTTTTGCTTTAGACTTCTGCTAAAATGTGATACCACATCTTTACACCTTTTTATTAAGTTAGTAATTTTAGAACACCCCTTTAATGCATCACTAATTGCAAGTTGTAAAGTGTGTTCAAAACAATGAATTCGAAAAATGCCATATTTTTGATCTAATTTTTCTAAACATAATTTAATATTTGACCCATTATCAACCATACCACTAACAATTATATGTTTAAGTCGAAGATTATCTAAGATTTCTACAATTTTATTTAAAAGACATTCAGAAGTATGGGGATATGGGAGATATGAAATGTTACTAGTAATTTCTTTTACTTGAAAGCTATCATTAATTCAATAAAGGGTAAGTCCAATATAAGGATTGCCATTATTTGATGTCTACATATCGGCGATAAAAGAAACATAACTAATTTCAGCACTATCAAGTACATATTCAGAAAGGTCTTGCAAAATTTTATTTTCAGAATTAATAAGAATTTCTTTTAAATGATCATTACTAAGTATATTAGCCTGGGTATCAAGGCCTTCAATTATTCTTTTAAATGATCGTGATTGAATAATTGAAAATGGTTGAAGTTCTTCAATGATAAAAGCAACTACATTATTATCGAGATTTTTTTGTTTGGGGTTATTAAATACATATTTTTTTACTTTGTTAAATGACTGTACTATTGTTGATTGCACAGATTTGAGTATTACAGAAAATTCACAACTATTATTACTCTTCACCACAACCTTTACTTGACCACCTTTCACCATAGCTTATAAAATATGATACTTATTTCTCAAATGCCTCCATAAATTTGAAGTAGAACCATCTTTTACATATTTTATTCATAAACAAATTCTATGCTGACAAACCTAATATTCTAATTTATTAATCATTTTTGTCTTATAAAATTCTTTAACCGGACTACCACCTAGCTTTTCAAATGCTTTTCATTTTTTAACTAACGATTTACTGCCAGTTTGTAATAATGTAGAAGAATTAAATAAATTGTTATTATTGTTATTACTATCTGTATTATTAAATTCTAACCCATCCAAATCATTGCCTTCAGGCTCATCCAAATCAGAATTTTCAGACTCATAAAATCAGAATTTTTAGGCTTATCCAAATCAGAATTCTCAAGCTCATCCAAATCAGAATTCTCAGGTTCATACAAATCAATATTATCAGGCTTATATAGATCAATATAATCAGGTTCATACTGATCACTATTCTCAGGCTCTAACATCATATTGTCTAAATCTTCATCACTCATTATTTATTGGCTTGGTAATTCAAATCTGTAGTATGATATAATAAAATAATAGTAAATTACTTGTCCAAAAAAATAAACATGATAAATTATAACAGTAAGCATATAATAGTATCTATGATATGCAAGTTTGTTTTATATTAATGGTAGATTCAGTAGTCATTATTATAAGGCTAAGATATTCAACTTATAATCTTCAACAAATATAATTCACTTTTTATAGACAATCTAGCAAGTATTTATCAGTAAAATTTGGGTGTTAAAAACTTTGAAATGCTTACTAATGTGATTCTATATATGTATATATAGTGCAAGAAATCCAAAGCCATCAATCATTTTTTCCCAAACCAGTTCCATAGAAGTACTAACAATCAATTCTATATATGCACGTACAGACAATAAATAAGCTTTTAATTTTTTTACACCAATTCCACTGAATTGGTAACAATAATCTTAGAATTTTTACTAATCTATTCTATATATACAGAGAATCTAAATCTGTTAATCTTTTCCCACACCAATTCCATAGAAGCAATAACAATAATCTTGGAATACTTACTAATTTGATCTTATATATGTATGTGCAATATAGGCATCTAAAATGGTTATTCTGTTTTTACACCAATTTGATCTAATATATGTATATGCAGTGCAGACATACAACAGTTATTCTTTTTCCACACCAATTCTGTGGAAGTGATAACAATAATTTTAAAAATCCATATCTTTAGCTGATTTTAGATAATGCACCAATGCTTTATGCTTATCTAATTCAGCCCCAATTCATAAATAACAACTTGGCTTAACGCACGCAAATCACTAACTCTTCCCGACGATCACTTGTACCAAATTTTTCTTAAAAACAATTGCTATTTTCTCAAAATTT